TCACCTGCACCGTAACTAATTCGAGTAGCGTGTGTGTTAACGGATAGTTACTTCACTGCACGAGGATAAGGGGAAGTCGCCTGGTGGCTTGGTGGCTAAAGCTCCCGCTTCACACACGGAGGGCCTGGGTTCGATTCCCGGCGGGTGGAAACATTTCGACACGTTTCCTTACACCTGTTGTCCTGTTCACCTAGCAGCAAATAGGTACCTGGGTGTTAGTCGACTGGTGTGGGTCGCATCCTGGGGGACAAGATTAAGGACCCCAATAGAAATAAGTTAGACAGTCCTCGATGACGCACTGACTTTCTTGGGTTATACTGGGTGGCTAACCCTCCGGGGTTAAAAATCCGAACGAAATCTTATCTTCTCTCACTGTTTGTAGTGTGACTGCCGCTGGTGAGCCCAGGTCGGCCTCTTGGCGGGAAAACGAGTGCCCAGGGCGTTTTACTGTGTAGGGCATGTGTATAAAACTAAGTTAAATTCTAACTCTAACTTAGCTTGGGCGTAGATGGGGACTGCAGGTGTCCCCCTCTATCCCCAGCTGGGTGAAGCTTGGTAACAATTTATCTTGGAAATCACCGAGATTTTCCACGGCAGTTCAACTTCTCGTTGTAACCCTTTTTTTCATTTTTCGACTTTTGTTCCATTTCTTGCTTTCACTCGTCCTCCTTGCTCTGTACTTTTTACACGATCTTTTAATCTTGTTTTAGCCTCCCTACAGTATTTGTTAAACTTTCGACACTTGCTTAATCGAGCCTAAAACCTATTGACTACATAAGGGTCATTAAGGCTACATATAACTTGTTCACTACCACATAAAAAATACTTTAATCCTTAAAACAGGTATATAAGTAAACTTTCAGAGTATATAAACTAAGAGACATACAGTTTGGTGCTTATAACCTGTTAATTTATGGGTTTACTTTGATTTGTGGCGCTCGTGTCTTAGCTTCTGGTCACACGTCGTAAATTACATTCACCGGAAATATTGGATATCCTGGGCCCGATGGAACTTACTCTTAAAAGTGATTTATTTTAATGATGGTGAAGCGCTAAGCCCGTATGGGCCATAAATCGCCTGGGGAATGGGATGAAATCAAGTTAGATTCAAGAAAGTGGAGGATAAGTTCTTTTCCATGAATCAAGAGCTCCTCACTGGCATCATGGCACCTCTCTTGAGGAGTCATGAGAGAGATCACTGGGCCAACTAACACAAACACATACACAAATTTACTCTCATTAAAATACACAAGTGCTGAAACTTACAGAATAATGCAAAGAAACATTCTCAAGTTATGCCACAGAAACCAGAGACTTTGACAGTAGTTTTCCGTAAGCTATGAGACACCTACTAAACAGAGCAAGAATAACTATTGCAACTAAAAGAAAAAAGATATACAAAACACAGTGTTTCCAAACCTGGATTGTGGCTATGATAATTTATTCTTTATTATAAGCAACCTAAGGTTAAGAAAACATACCCGACTATGTAAACAGACGAACAGTATGAGGTCATATTCTCTCCAGTAAATTATTTTGGGCTGTGATTAAGAAAACGTTGATGGAAATTTTTAATTATACTCTAGAATAGATCCATATGATAAACGTCATGGAATAAAATAAATATTACCCATATGTCTGCAGTATGGGAAATCCAGTGTGACCCGAACCTCTGCTGCTATGAAGCTATGTTATATATATATATATATATATATATATATATATATATATTAATATATAATATATATATATACAAAAACAACCACTCTGAAAGAATAGAGAAATTCCAAGCGCTTTCGTGACTACTCACATTATCAAGGAACTATGAAAGTAAAGCATCCAAGGAGGTATATAAGGGTCTGGCCAACACCTCACTATCAGATCCCACAACGGTTAAACACCTGACGCGCGCCGACCCAACTTGGATAGGGTCCTTTGCACAACTCACCAACAAAACTATCTACCCAAGAAAATTTAAAAATTATTATTTGTCCAGTGTATTATTAAATTCTTCCCAAATTCATTAATTATAAATGGATCTAATTTATATAAACCAAAGGAAATATTCATATTATTGTCAAAACTGCTTTTTATGAAATAAGATTCAATTATATTCCTGTCGACCATGGACTTGCTTGAACTACTTTCTCAACTTTTGAAAATCAATTGGATGGTTAAAATCTCTTACATGAATAAATAGAGCATTGAATCTTGTCAGTTCTAATGCTATATTTCATGTTGTTTTAATCTTAGTTCGAGATTTTTACCAGTTTGACCGTAATAAACTTTATCGCAAATTTTACAAGGAATCTTATAGACACATCCATCAGCATTTTGGGGGGAATTCTTTATCAAAAGTTTTTTTTACTGTATCAAGATTTTTGAATACAACTTTAATATTAAAAGTCTTAAGAAGAGAAGGCATATCAACCAAGTTTTCATGGTAAGGGAGAACCAACATATTTTTAGTTGAATAAGGCTGGTTGTCCCTTTTTGGATTATAAAAAGTATTTCTAGCAACTTTAAAAGATTTATCAATTACATTTCAATAGGTAATGATTTAAAATACCCATGAAATGTAATTGATAAATCTTTTAAATCATTACCTATTGAAATGTAATTGATAAATCTTTTAAAGTTGCTAGAAATACTTTTTACAATCCAAAAAGGGACAACCAGCCTTATTCAACTAAAAATATGTTGGTTCTCCCTTACCATGAAAACTTGGTTGATATGCCTTCTCTTCTTAAGACTTTTAATATTAAAGTTGTATTCAAAAATCTTGATACAGTAAAAAAACTTTTGATAAAGAATTCCCCCCAAAATGCTGATGGATGTGTCTATAAGATTCCTTGTAAAATTTGCGATAAAGTTTATTACGGTCAAACTGGTAAAAAATCTCGAACTAAGATTAAAACAACATGAAATATAGCATTAGAACTAGACAAGATTCCATGCTCTATTTATTCATGTAAGAGATTTTAACCATCCAATTGATTTTCAAAAAGTTGAGAAAGTAGTATCAAGCAAGTCCATGGTCGACAGGAATATAATTGAATCTTGTTTCATAAAAAGCAGTTTTGACAATAATATGAATATTTCCTTTGGTTTATATAAAATTAGATCCATTTATAATTAATAGAATTTGGGAAGAATTTAATAATACACTGGACAAATAATAATTTTTAAATTTTCTTGGGTAGAAATGGTTGTTGGTGAGTTGTGCAAAGGACCTGTCCAGTTGGGCCGGCGCGCCGTCAGGTGTTTAACTGTTGTGGGATCTGATAGTGAGGTGTTGGCCAGACCCCTTATATAGCTTCCTTGGATGCTTTACTTTCATAGTTCCTTGATAATGTGAGTAGTCACGAAAGCGCTTGGAATTTCTCTATTCTTTCAGAGTGGTTGTTTTGCATATTCTGAAAATCACCTGTTTACTGTGATCTTATTGCATATATATATTATATATATATATATATATATATATATATATATATATATATATATATATATATATATATATATATTAGCATATTTTATAACTTAAGATTCTACAAATGCACAGTTAAATAGAATAATGCCCTGATGACTTGGTCTCCCTGGTGTATATTACAACAGGACCCATATAAAATAAGCATAAAATTTTGCCCCTGTTCCTGTTTAATCAGCTCTATGTACAGCACAGCCACCGCTTCTCTGGCGCTGTTTGCTTTGAGAAAATATTAATGATTAAAGGTGTGCTCACGGCGATCAAGTGCCCAATACGCGAAGCTTGGTGGGCTCCCGTAGGTGTTCCAGGGGTTGCTGTAGTGAGCGCCGAAGAGTGTGTATTGGAGGGCGTTGTAGGGAGTGATGTAAGGAGAGTGGTAAGGTGGTTGGGGGGGAGGGATGCTATAGCAGGACCTCCAATCTCTAGGGTAACTCTCATTCACTCGCCACCAAGCTTAACCAGGCCAAACAAATATTTCAGTGTAATAGTTTGTATGCTATGAGGATGTTGAACAAAAACTAGAATTTTGATTCATCAGATTTACTCAGTTCAAACCATCCTACATAGCATCTTCAGATTAATAAGCTATAGTTAACACATTACAAAGCATAACCTTGTTTAGCATTGGATATAAGAGCCCGGAATAATAGCTAGACCGTTTTCTAAGTCATCACTAACCTGAAATGCACATCAATAACCTAATGATGTGTTGACGTAAGCATTTCTGAGTTATGCATTTTGCGTGCTCTTCACAAAGCAGTTAACTGACAGCACTAAAAAGGTATACCCATCAAGGGGATTTTTTGTACACTAGAGAAGTAAATAAGCCATATCTAGAAACCCCGCAATAATGATTGCAAAATTATAAAAGTCCTAAACATATCTCCATGAATTGCAAAATGAGGAGAATAACAAGTGACAGTATATATTTAGTAAATTATTGGATAATACCCTCAGTATCAACTTCAACTGTCAACAGTCAATTAATTAGTCCTAGGTATCACCGGTAACTTAGAAGTGGTAAGCAGGTAGATATATTAAGTTTGATCATTGCAGGTAGATATATTAAGTTTGATCATTTAAGCTGGCGAAAGTCCTGAAGGTGAGATTGGCCAGATATGCCAATTTAAATTACTAAAGCTGGAACTTTTTAAGCATGTATAATAAGTAAGCCGCAGACAACTGGTGAGAAATACTTTATGTCTCATGTTAGATCTAAGGCACGAGAGCACTATGAAGTATTCTCAAGAAAGTTGTGTATGATGCCAATCACATCATAACTCCATATTCTATTCCACAACTTTTGTATAGAACTATCACACAGTCTTCCCTGATACCTCTGATCTGTCCTTCAAGAGGTGTCTGTAGTGTTCTTTTTAAGTACAGTTATTTTCCCCTCCTAAGCATAATGAGCAGGCAATTTTGTCTTTGATATGGCTTATTGTATATATAAAAGACAGGGAAGGTGGATGGACAGAGAGAGTTCAGCGGCCAGAGTGGCTGCCTAGCCTACCAGGTTTGCAGGCCTCACAGTTGAGCAGGGCGTCGCGCAGGAGGGCCGTCTCTTCACGCTGTCAGAAACACATCTTTGGGTAACTCTTACATCACAGAAACTATAAAACAAAATTATCTTTATATTCAAAACAATTTCCAGAAAGTAAATACATTATTAACGCATAATAGCTTATAAGAATATATAAAATGTAGCCTACCAATAATTTGCGTGTAACATTGTATAACAGACTCAAATCACAAAAAGCACAGACTATTTTGTAACAACAAAGACCAGCACTGAAATCCAAATATGTCCTGTGATTTGTTTTAGCTACATACATAAATCTGACTATGTAATGACAAAGAAAACGTTAATTGAGGTGAATCACTTAAGGATCAGAAGATTCGCCTCCCCACTGGTAAAACAAGTGTGTATATATATATATATATATATATATACAGTGGTCCCCCGCTTTTCGTAGTTCCCGGCAATCGTAAAATTCGCCAATCATAGAGGTATTTTCGTATAAACATGGACTCGCTTTTCATAGGTTCACTTGCGAGTCGTAGTTCGTCCGGGACGCGTACCCACGGCGTGAGCCGGGGTGGCAGCCAGTCTGGCATTGTTTACCAGTGAGCGAAGGTCCCCTCACGTGCTCCAGCGAAATATTTCATAATATTCCATTTATTTTAGTGCTTGCAAGTACTAAATAAGCTACCATGGCTCCAAAGAAAGCTCCTAATGCCAAGCCTGTGGTAAAGAAGGTGAGAAATACGATTGAATTTAAGAAAACCATCATTGAACAATATGAAAGTGGTACAAGTGTGGCCGAACTGTCCAGGATGTATAAGAAACCCTACACAACCTTATGTTCCATAGTGGCCAAGAAAAATGAAATAAAGGATGCTGTTGTTGCAAGGGAGTAAACTATGCTGACAAAAATGAGATCACCAGTACTGGAAGAGGTTGAGAAGTTATTATTGGTGTGGATAAATAAGAAACAATTAGCAGGAGATACTCTTATGACTTCGTTTATTTGTGAAAAGGCTAGGCAGTTGCATGAAGATTTGGTAAAGAAATTGCCTGCAAATAGTGGTGAAGTGAGTGAATTTAAGGCCAGCAAAAGCTGGTTTGAGAGATTTAAGAACCGTACTGACATACACAGTGTGGTAAGGCATGGTGAGGCTGCCAGTTCGGACCACAAGGCGGCTGAAAAATATGTGCATGAATTCCAGGAGTACATAGAGGCTGAAGGACTGAAACCTGAACAAGTGTTCAATTGTGACGAAACAGGCCTCTTTTGGAAGAAAATGCCGAAGAGGACCTTCATTGCACAAGAGGAAAAGGGAATGCCAGGACACAAGCCTATGAAAGACAGGCTGATGCTAATGTTCTGTGCTAATGCTAGTGAGGATTTCAAAGTGAAGCCATTACTAGTGTACCATTCTGAAAATCCCAGAGTGTTCAGGAAAAACAATGTTATGAAGAGTAAATCGTGTGTGTTTTGGAAATCTAATAGTAAGGCATGTGTCACGAGGGAAATTTCGTCGAGTGGTTCAATGAAGTGTTTGGCCCTAGTGTGAAGGAGTATCTCCTGGAAAAGAAATTGGACAATGCACCTGATCATGGACAATGGACAATGCACCTGATCATCCTCCAAACTTGGATGACCTAATTTTCGAGGAGTTTGGGTTCATCACAGTAAAGTTCTTGCCCCCGAATACCACTCCTCTCCTCCAACCCATGGACCAGCAGGTTATTGCAAACTTTAAAAAACTCTACACAAAAGCAATGATTCACAGGTGCTTGACTGTGACCACAGGGAATTTTGGAGAGTACACTTCAGCATCCTCCACTGCATAACCCTTATAGATATGGCTTGGGAGGGAGTGACTACCAGGACTTTGAACTCTGCCTGGAGAAAATTGTGGCCAGATTGTGTCGACAAGAGGGATTTTGAAGAATTTGGGACTGACCCTAATGAGCCTATGTCTGTTGTAAAATCAATTGTGGCAGTGAGGAGTTCCATGGGGTTGGATGTGAGTTTGGAGGATGTGGAAGAATTGGTGGAAGACCACAATGAAGAGCTCACCACTGAGGAGCTGCAAGAGCTTCAGCAGGAAGAGCAACACATCGCAGCTCAGAATCTTGCTGCAGAGGAGGAGGAAGAGAGATGGAAGAAGGTGCCTTCAGAAATTAAAGATATTTTTACTATGTGGGGTAAGATGGAAAGCTTTATGGAAAAACATCACCCTAACAAGGTTGTTGCAAGCCAGGTTTGCAACATGAACAGTGACAAGTCTTGGGCCATTTTAGGGAAGTGTTAAAGAGACGCCAGAAACAGAGCTCTCTCCACAGTTATTTTGTGAGACAGGACTCCAGTGACTCTCAAGGTGGTCCTAGTGGCATTAAGAAACAGAGAAGAGAAGCAACCCCAGAAAAGCAAATGGTACCTGAGGTGTTGATGGAAGGGGATTCCCCTTCCAAACTATAAACAATCCACTCTCTCTCCTCCTCCAGTCTCCCATACACTAAGAAGAATCTCCAATAAAGGTAAGTGTTATGCTGTTAATGTTTCATTCATCATTTCCCATTGTATTGTTTATGTACTACATGCATATTTCATGTTAAAATTTTTTTTTGTTTTAATACTTCTGGGTGTCAGGAACGGATTAATTGTATTTACATTATTTCTTATGAGGAAAATTGATTCGTAAATCGTAAATATCGTTTATAGTAATGGCTCCAGGAACGGATTAATTACGAACAACGAGGGACCACTGTATATATATATATATATATATATATATATATATATATATATATATATATATATATATATATATATATATATATATATATATATATATAAAACACTGATCTCTGGCTGAAGGAGACTCGAACCTTGGAACAAGGTACGCAGTGCTATACCAGTCTCACCACACTGGACAATACCTTGGCGTCCAGCTTGTGCTAGACGTTTTGATCCAAGGCAGCCAGCTTTCAGGGAGGAGGCTTACAGCTTTTCATCTCATCCCCTGCATGCATCAGCCTTACTAGAGATTATAACAATGCAAGGAATTCGCAAGAGCAAATTCGTAAGCCTTCTCCCTGAAAGCTGGCTGCCTTGGATCAAAACGTCTAGCGCAAGCTGGACGCCAAGGTATTGGTCCAGTGTGGTGAGATTGGTATAGCACTGCGTACCTTGTTCCAAGGTTCGTAGGTTCGAGTCTCCTTCAGCCAGAGATCAGTGTTTGTATATATTTCGCCTTCTCTTGCGAATTCCTTATATATATATATATATATATATATATATATATATATATATATATATATATATATATTATATATATATATAGTATTCGAAAAATTTGCATGTATATATATATATATATATATATATATATATATATATATATTATATATATATATATGTATATGCAAATTTTTCGAATACCATTTTTTTATGTTGTATAAGGGTTAACCTGACAACTAGCAGGATTTACTTAAACTAATATATTTTAATTTACTTAACGTATCTAAGAATCTCAACTACAGTTACCTCCTAAACATCTCCGCCGCTTGATGCTGCAGGCCCCTCGAATTTAGCATTTTATGTATATTTTGATTAATACATTTGTCTTTGTGACTGGAGGGCGAATTTTCACATGAACCATTTTATGTTAGAGAATCATCCTTTTTTTTTACATTGTGAAATGTTTGCCAGTATGATGAAGTAACTGAGATTTCCCAGTTGAGTGCCTACCTGTGTCTGAATTTCGATCTGCAGGTCTTTGATAGTCTCAATGAGCTCCGCCAGGGTCTTGACCAACTTGTTGCCTGATGGGAATCAGATAGCAATAGTTACCTTTCATGTACCTAACAATAATTAAAACATAACCTGTAAGTTGCTTCCATGAGGCTACTTTAGCCATTACCGGCCAGAATATCACAGAGGTGAATGATATTTGCATTTATTCAGGGATGCATAATACTATCAGAAGCAAATGTTAGTAATGGTGCCATACATGTATGCTCTCTTTTTACAATAAGTAATATCTACCTTAGAGTCAAAAAGCAATTTAAAATGGCACTAGCTTTAGCGGCAGCAATACTCCACAACTGTACACTACTTGGGTATCGCATATAAAATATATTACCAAAGTGGATTATACCATTTTAAACAGCAAAGTAACCTCATAATATATACACAGATTATTATATTTAGTTAACTATTTAGATATACAAATATTTAAAGCAATAAGAAACTCTATTGTTGAGGTTAATAAGAATTTATTTTCTTCATTACTAATGCACAATTAGTTCTTATATCAAATTTAAATGTGTTTATAACTATGCACCCAGATAATGACACAAAATGCAAGTTGCAACTCATTATTAATTATATAACTGCAGAAGGAAATTTTATAACAGGTATTATTACTTACCTTCTGTGAATGGCAAGAACATTACTAATATGAATACAAAATAAATGGCGCATCTGTAATAAATGATTAACTGGCTTCATAACAAGTTGGCAAAAAAAAAAAGTGCAACCTCAGAAAACCAGCCTGGGTTATTTAATCTTACACATCCCATTGATGTAACACTAACCTAAAATTTCTGTGATGTCAAACTCATCATGACTGGTTCAGCTTAAGCTTATTCCATGACATAATCATCGTGCCTATAAAAATCTTTTCCCCTTAAGTCATTTCTGGTTAAACTATGAGCTAAACGCACACTCAAGATTAAAGGTCAACAACTCTCTGTGTCTCACAAAGACCTTTGTAGCATTATATCATTCTAATAACCTTGTAGGGTAATATATTTTACATCCACAGGAAAAATTTTGAGTGTCTCATATGGTCATATTGAGTTTATAGTTCCTTGATTATTTTTTCAAAGATACTCAAATATAAAATAAGATCCATAAGCAATTGTATATCATACGTAGGTAGTTATATAATCACGAGAATTAAAAGTATATCGTCGTCCTAGATTAATGTCACTTACAAAGGCTGTTTCATCTGAATCTATTTCTAGATGTACCTAATTGTATATATAACTAGGCATTTTTTAGACTAAAGCTATATATAAATTTGTACAGAATAATCTCTACGTTAAATTGTATTTGTATAATTATTTGGTATAATAAACACTAATTAATTAACTATAGTGATTCTGCATTATTGAGTTTATTGTGGACTTGTTCTAATCTATTTCAGCCACCACTCAAACTAAAACAAGATATATACACCATGAGGTGTATTTTTCTCAGCATATATATTCTGAGATTAAAATATTCTTGTCTGGTGGTGAAAAATAAGTTACAATATAGTCGACAGGCTTTAAGCCCCATTAATTATCAAACTACTTTCACTTAAATAGCTACGTAAATACCGAGATTTGTTCCTTGTGATATGCATTATCATATTCTTCATTATTAATAAGTGGGTTGCACAATGGAGAGTTATATTTTGGGTCTATTGGGACGGTATTTTTTGGTAACCAAAAAACAGTAACTCAACCCAACATAGCTTAAAATTTAACTCCTAACCTTCGTTAAATTTGGTTTGGTAGGATTACCTACATTTTGTGTACCAAACCAACTTTTTCTCCACTGACCCAGAACATGTCTCCACTGCGATAACCCACTAAGCTTAAAATACAAGCCAATAACTACTATATCTTAATGACTGGCTCACTTTAGGAATCTACTAGATATATTGTAAATAGTATCTCCAATAAAGGCTTGTCCTTGACTTACGAGGTGGTAGTTATTTATGTACTTCTGTAAATAGGCTAAATTAACAATATTATATAAGTTACGAGATAGTCATAAAGAATTTACACCTATAATTAACAACTTACACCACACCTACACAATTAACTCAAACCTAATGTTCAGTGGCCTCCTCTGGCTTTAATGCCAAACTGCACTAAACTACACTTCGGCCTAGCCCATCCCAGCCCCAATGATCTAACATATAGAGCGTAGAGGCCACGTAGGGTGTAGCAGACATCAGGCAGGCGGGTACTTACTGGCCTCGTCTTCATGATTGATGGGTATGTCTCCTGCAAGGGGTTAAGAGAAAGCATGCTTCATTGTGATCAGCACATCTAGGAGCTTAAAAAATATGATGAGAAATGGCATTAACAATATTAAATTAAAGCACTACTTGTTGAAGAGCTTATGGTAATGGTAATCTTAGGAAAATTTATTACAATTTAAATAAAGCAATGGAAGCTCATATTACACTGACTCTATTAATGGAAAGTTCATGTAAGAGGAGCTTCCAGGCTCTAACTCTTATTGGGTATTGTATGGAGTTTTTCCCTTTGTTAAATTATTTGCATTTGATATCTGCAAGTAAGCTTTTATATTTTGGCCACACTGAGATGTCTTGACACCATCAGAGCAATATATTATGCGTCTCCTTGATATATAACAAAAACATTCTACTCTTATATCACTTCTATAAGGGATAAATTTGTAATGTTCTTGATCAATTTTCCCTAGAGTGAAGTAACTCCTGCCGGACGCAACATTTTTTGGCAGACGCGCACAAATGATGTCAAGGACATTTTTGAGTGGGGCGACAATTGAGATCAGGTCTTGCAAAACAAATCGCTGGGCAACACATCCTAGTCAGTGGGGAGTGCGAATGAGTTTATTATCTGATTCGCATGCTTGAAAATTATTCATTAAGACATTACATATTAACACAATGGGATTATTTATCATTAAAATTAGCCCTTAATGATGGTTAAATTACACGATAATAGCCTAATCACATCCGGAACTCCTATGAGTAGAGTTATCAATAAAGCTTGTGCCTTACGGATTGTGCACAACGACAAGGTCGTTGTGCACAATCCGTAAGGCACAAACTTTGTGCACAATCTGAGTGAACTCCAAGCCCATGAGTTAATTCATAGATTTAACTGTGAAATGAATATTCCGCTCCAAACATGAATTACTGAGAACCATACACAAGTTCAATGACCTTTTCTAGAGTTATTTAAAACTTTAGAAGTATAACAGTGATTATTACTAATTATTACTAATGATTATTACTAATCTATTCTTTAAATTACTGGCAAAATAAACGAGGCAAGTTCTGTATAACGAGCGAGTGTGGGATGAGGTGTTAATTCGTGTAAGTTGTCCATGCTTCAGTAAGCTAATGAATGCCTTTTGATCGTGATACAATCTTTATTTAATTTCCCAGTCTTCATTTCAACAGATTGCAAATTAAAAATAATTGTACGGTACTAAACTAGGAAACAATTTTTTCTTCTTAAATTATGATTTGTAAACCTGTAAATAATATTCATATCAAACTGTAAAAATCGCATTCGCCAGTCCAAGTGTCACATGCTGATTATATCTGGTCCTTAATCCAACACACAAATACTTGACCATACCGCCACCAGAAAAACATATGGATATAGTATTAGTTTCCATGCCCTGTTAGAACTAGCTAGCAAAGGCTATCAGTTAACCTCTAGCTTGCTCTTGCTGAGAGACAGAAGTTGGTCAGTGAAGGGTATGCGAGACTCATTTAGTCAGTGAAGGTCATGCAAGTCATTAAGTTATTCAATGAAAGGCATGCAATAGTCACTGCGTGTTTAGTTAGTATCCTCTCGAGCGCAGCCTCGTCTTGTTGGCCATAAATATATTGGTGCCATTAAATGTAAGAAATCATGTGATGATTTTTTTTATTTTTTTTACAAATCAACAGTAATGGGAATCAGACCTTAAGACTTAAAATAATATCATACTGTTTACGTTGATGGTCCCCTTACTTCTAACAGTGGAAGGGTGGGAAATACTGTTATCGTAAACAAACCGGATGGTACTGTAATACAAAGATGTACTGTAATACAAAGATGTACTGTAATACAAAGGTGTACTCTAATACAGATGTATATTATAAATAACTAGGTTTCCACCTTGATCAACTTATAGGCTAAATAAAGCAGAACTTATTCAAAATGAATGCGAAAAAGATTTAGAAGTTCTGGTTAGCATAAATTTAAAGGCAAGACAATAGTGCATAAGTGTTCTCAATAATGATAGTAGGATTCTTGGCTTCATATGAAGTAGCATATATAATAAAAGTCCTGTACATTTTTTTTCGGTAAGGCTTCAGTTGGATTACACTCCTCAGTTCTGGTCTCTTTATAACAGAATGAACACAAATGTGCTAGAAATATACACAGGGCGACGAAGTTGATCCTATGTATCAAAAAACCTTTCCTACGAACACAGGTTGAAGGCAATAAACGTGCACTCTGGTATAATGTACAATTTGAGGGGGTATGATTGAAATATACATATGAAAAAGGGAATAAATAAAGATTATATAAAACCTGCTAAATGTTTCTAACCACGCACTGGTTTGGCAATAGTTTTAGTGAAATAAGTTCCCAGGTAGAGCTACTGGGATGAGAATCTTTCGTTAACTTTAAAAAACAGGTTGGACGCTATATGAACGTGTATGGTTGGGCGTGAGTTACACCTGCCTGGCATGGGCCATAGGCCTACTGAAGTGTTCCTTCACTCTTATGTTTCTATAGACTGGTATGTTTGTGATACTGCTCGCAAGCGTGTAGAAACTACAGTTACTAGCAGTTTAATTTGATCTGATTCCCTTTCCTAAATGCTTTCTCTAAATAGCTGAGATGTGTCTGTAGCATACTTATGTATGAACTAAGGCACAGATATACACAACTTATTGAGATGATTGAGACACATGTGCAACAGTCGGGTATCTTGATTATTGAAACGTTCCGCTTACACAGTAGGCTTAATATCGTTCCAGATAGTGGAAATGAGCTTTTCTCTTAGCTGAGGGACTGACCACCTCAAGTACTATTTCTCCAAGTTGATGGACTGAGTACATCATGCTGCCTCTGTATTTGACTGAAGAAGCCAACTGTGTAGGTGACATGCTGTTGCACCTGTGTCTTAATCATCAATTTGTCGGTAATTTATACCATTTTCAACATATTAAGAAGTGTGTTTCCTCTCTCACAGGAGTCCGGGAGCACGACAGTCGATGATCTAGCTGAATTACAATTAAACTAAAAAAAAAAGTAGAGTATAATTTCGATTTTTCAGTGTTCAAAAAATATTTGCAGAAAAGAACTAGAAAACTAGTTTGAAGAAAGTAGACAGTACAGACAAGAACTAAGATTAACTGTCTATCAAAATGAAATGTGTCAAGTAAAACACGTCTATAGAAAAAATAAGGTCAACAGTTTATAAGACATTGTCACTGCTAGAGTGATACTAGGATATAAGTTTACAGGTGTTTCAAAACATTGGACCCGTATAGAGTGTAGTGATGCATTTAAATTAGGTTCATCATTTTGAGACACCCTATATCAATCAGTAACGGTTGTACCTCGATGCCAGGTTCAACATTTTTTTAAGACACCTCTAAGCAAACCCTACGGTAAATGACAACCCATTTCCTTGTTAATCATAGGATATCTAAAATCTTAGAACTGTATTCACATTTTGCATCGCTAGATGAATAAGACTCCGATAATTATGACCAATGGCTTTATGTGGTAACAAGATAATTCTCCTGCACTTTGTATCTCATTGTATTGTGTAGAACAGCTGTGTGATGTAATATTTGTAAAGATGTAATTACATGCATTTGGTTTGGTAAAAGATTTAATTTGACCTCCATAATCCTTTTCTTTTTTACGCCCCCATTGACAAAGATGAGTGGAGTGCACAATTAACTAGCCACAGAGGCGGCACTACTAAACTCGATTATTTGACTGTGGTTTAAGTGTATTTGTGAGATCCCATGACTGGAAGTGCAAGACTGAGGGAATGGTTTAAGATTATCTGTGGGCTACCATAGCTGGTTGAATGGTTTAAGATTATCTGTGGGCTACCACAGCTGGTTGAATGGTTTAAGACTATCTGTGGGCTACCACAGCTGGTTGAATGGTTTAAGATTATCTGTGGGCTACCACAGCTGGTTGAATGGTTTAAATTATCTGTGGGCTACCACAGCTGGTTGAATGGTTTAAGATTATCTGTGGGCTACCACAGCTGGTTGAATGGTTTAAGATTATCTGTGGGCTACCACAGCTGGTTGAATGGTTTAAGATTATCTGTGGGCTACCACAGCTGGTTGAATGGTTTAAAATTATCTGTGGGCTACCACAGCTGGTTGAATGGTTTAAGATTATCTGTGGGCTACCACAGCTGGTTGAATGGTTTAAGATTATCTGTGGGCTACCACAGCTGGTTGAATGGTTTAAGATTATCTGTGGGCTACCACAGCTGGTTGAATGGTTTAAAAGTATCTGTGGGCTACCACAGCTGGTTCTATATGGGCTACACAGGGATTTTATTATGGGCTACCAAGGGCAATAAGTTATTGTGGGCTACTATGGTAAGGTTAAGACTTTCAGTCTAACAGGGAATGGTGTTAAGATATAACTTTATCCATTTAATTAAGCATATCGGTCACAGTTGACATGGTTTTATCTAGGCTTACCAACATTTATGTTATAGATTATTGCTACCATAGTTTAATGTTTAATATATATTTTAAATGTTAATTTTAATATATATCTTGCTACCATTTTAGAAATCTGTTATGCAGATATTTGGGTACCCTCAAGCTGGAATTATTAGTTATTGTGGTCCACTACTTTGAATGGTTTAGATATCTGTGGTACCACGTGGTTATGGTTGATTTTTTACACATTTAGGTTTAGACAATCTGTTAAACAGCTGTTGATTTTAGATATTGTGGTAGAACATGGTTTATGGTTTTAGATTATTGTAAGAACAGGTAATGGTTAATTATCTGTGGAGCTACCCAGTGATGAATGGTTAATGATTATTTGGCTACCCAGTAATTAAATATCTCCCACAGCTTTGAGAAGGTTTAACGACGACTTTGGCTCCAACTTTGAGCATTTAAAGTTATCTTTAGGTGCTGGTTATTTTGAGTTTTTGTGGCTACCACACTGGTATGATGGTTTGATTTTTTACCCGTGGTTGAAGGTTTAAGATTTCTGGGGCTTCACATTTGAATGGTTACCTATATAGGTGGGCTACACGTGGTTAATGGGTTTGACTAATTCTCTGTATGGTTCTGTTGCTGTGGCTACACAGTGTTGAATGGAAGATTATCGGGGCACAGTGGGATGTTAAGTCTGTTCCATGGTTGAATGTAAATATCAATGGGGACACAGTGTAGTATATGTAGGATTTTTTAAAATACACTGAGTTTATGTAATAAAGTTGGACAGTGAGTTCAGGGACTGTGATATGATAATAATTTATTTCCATAAAGCTCGTACAGTATGCAATTTTATAGGATTACTCATATATAATATATATATATATATATATATATATAATGATGTATAAAATATATATTTATATAATATATATATTATATATATTATATATTACATTTTAGAAAGATCCTTGTTATGCAGAGCATTTGGGACAGTCTTAACGCCTAAATAATTATTTAATTAGGTCAGCTTACTATAATGCTATGGTTTGTAATCTTTAACTTTTTTATATTACAATTTAGTTTATGCACCAATCTGTTAAAACATTTGTATTGGCGAATATTGTTGTAGAACATATTTTGGTTATTACTTATGTTAAGAATATATTAGGATATCATGTGTGAGACTATCAGTATGAATGCTAATATGATTTGGATCAGTACACAAATAACCCGCACATAGAAAAGAGGAGCTTACGACGACGTTTCGGCCCGACTTGGACCATTTACAAAATCACACTTCTATGTGCGGGTTATTTGTGTATTGTTCCAGTCACGGTATTGTGCTTTTTTTTTTGGGGGGGGGATCAATTTTAGGGGTCTTTATTTGCATAGAGTTCCTATATAGGTTGAGCCATACACGTGGCTATAGCTGTGAGAATTCTTGTACTGTGTCTGTGCTGTGTTACAGTTCTCCAGGAAGAGTCGGGGCGCTGGGCTGAAGGTCGTTCATGGTCTCATGTAAATATAAATGCACAGTAGTAAGTGTAGATATATGTTAAATACACTGAGACTTTTGAATAGTGGAAGAGGGGATGTTGTCTGGGACCTGACTGGGTGATTGTTCTAACAGCTGTTCTTGTTGGGTGACAATGGGTTTTAGGTGACTTGCTGTAGTAGAGCCTCAAGTATAAATATACCACAATTAAGGTCGAGAAAGAAAGTGGATGGTACAGAGTGAATAACTGTGGCTGTGGAAAATAGTAGTGATTTTTTTTATGGAATTCCCACACTCTTGGAATTATCTTAGAATATGTTGGCGCGAGTGTTGAATTTTAAGTTGCATTTGAGGTGTATTACAGATGGTTGTGTAGGCTGCACGGAAATGTGCATTGACGAGTGTTAGGGTTAGGTGAGTGAGCGGGAATGATTCCCAGCGGAAACTGGAGTAATGATTGGCGCATGCAAGCAGACGGGGGTGTGGCCGTTGCTTGGGCTGCCCCGGTGAAGCGCAGCTGGACTTATGCCCGGGCCTTACCTCGGTCGGGAGGGGTGATGGGCTGCGTGAAAGTGGGACAAGGTTCCCCGTACTGGAGGTTCTGACACCTCACAGCTGGGAGGCGGCGGGAGAGAGGAAGGCTCAGTCACTGGCGTCTAATCACGAGGACAAGCCACACCAGCGCCCTGGGGTGCCCCTCATCCATGCGTCCAACTTGTCTCGCCTTACCTCTTCTCTGACTCACAATTCTTAACTAAATTTCTAATTTGGTGAACATCACTACAAGCGGAGGTGTTATAACGAGTGTGGGCGTAGGAGGAAGTACCCTTGGGCGTGGTGGTGGTGATGACGGCGGCCAGGAGAGGCAACGCACGTCACACCATAAGCGACAAACATTGCATAACTAGTTAATGTGGTGCCAGGCAGTGATTGGTTCAGTAATACCAATTTATCTTAAAGAATCACATATACTATTTTCTATATTTATTTAAAAAACACCGGACAAAACACTCAAGTATTTGGCTGAAGCCTCGTGCGATAATGTAACCTTGCATAAAAAAAATCGAAGTAAAACGCTGATATCTACCTAATATTGATTACTTAAGGAAAACACAATGTATTTTATATTAGTTATTTTGGTACTCGGTATCGTATTCAGATAGTATATGTTCATTTTCACTAAGATCAATGAAACAGCAGGAATATTCATAATTATAATGCTATTGAAAAACAGATTCGACGATGGAGGGGAATTGTGTGTGTGTGTGTGTGTACTCACCTATTTGTGGTTGCAGGGGTCGAGTCATAGCTCCTGGCCCCGCCTCTTCACTGGTCGATACTAATTCAATCTCTCCCTGCTCTATGAGCTTTATCATACCTCTTCTTAAAGTTATGTATGGATCCTGCTTTCACTACATCATTTCCCAAACTATTCCACTTCTTGACAACTCTGGCTGAAGAAATACTCCCTAACATCCCTGTGATTCATCTGAGTCTTCAGCTTCCAACTGTGACCCCTTGTTGTTGTGTACCATCTCTGGAACATCCTGTCTCTGTCCACCTTGTTGATTCCTCTCAGTATTTTATGTCATCATCATGTCCCCCCTATCTCTCCTATCCTCCAGTGTCGTCAGGTCGATTTCCCTCAACCTCTCCTCGTAAGACACGCCCCTTAGCTCCGGGACTAGTCTTGTTGCAAACCTTTGCACTTTCTCTAGTTTCTTTACGTGCTTGGCTAGGTGTGGGTTCCAAACTGGTGCTGCATACTCCAATATGGACCTAATGTACACGGTGTACAAGGTCCTGAACGATTCCTTATTTGGTTGATGTGCGCTTCAAGGGATGTGCCTGGTGTTATACTCACCCCAAATCCTTTTCCTTGAGTGAGGTTTGTAGTCTCTGTCCCCCTAGACTGCACTCCGTCTGCGGTCTTCTTTGCCCTCCCCCAATCTTCATGACTTTGCACTTGGTGGGATTGAACTCCAGGAGCCATTTGCTGGACCAGGTCTGCAAACTGTCCAGATCCCTTTGTAGTTCTGCCTGGTCCTCGTCCGACTGAATTCTTCTCATCAACTTCACACCATCTGCAAACAGGGACACTTCTCAGTCTAATCATTCCATCATCATTCACAAATACCAGCAACAGCACCGGTCCTAGAACCCCGCTCGTCACAGGCCCACTCGGACACCTCGCCACGTACCCTGACTCGCTGTTGTCTTCCTGACAGGTATTCCCAGATCCATTGCAGTGCCTTCCCTGCTATCCGTGCCTGGTCCTCCAGTTTTTGCACTAATCTCCTGTTTGAAACTGTGTCAAACGCCTTCTTACAGTCCAAGAAAACGCAATCTACCCACTCCTCATAGAACTCCAGTAGGCTTGTGACACAGGATTTCCCATCCCTGAAACCGTGCTAGCTGTCGCTGATAAGCTCATTCCTTTCTAAGTGCTCCACCACTCTTCTCCTGATAATCTTCTCCATGACTTTGCATACTACACAGGACAGTGACACTAGTCTGAAGTTTAATGCTTCATGTCTGTCTCCTTTTTTTAAAAATTGGGACTACATTTGCTGTCTTCTATACTTTAGGTAGTTAACCCTGTTTCGATAGATGTGTTGAAGATTGTTGTCAGTAGTGCACATAGTTCCTCTGCTCCCTCTCTCAGGACCCATGGAGAGATCCTATCCGGCCCCATCGCCTTTGAGGTATCTAGCTTGCTTAGCAGCCTCTTCACTTCTTTGGTTGTATGTATTGTGTCCCTTCTGTCTCTGTGAACACTTCTTTGAATCTCATGTTGAACTCCTCACATACTTCTTGATCATTTCTTGTAGGGTCCCCTCTTTCCTTCCTCAGCCTGATTACCTGGTCCTTGACTGTTGTTTTCTTCCTGATGTGGCTGTACAACAGCTTTGGGTCAGATTTGGCTTTCGCTGCTATGTCATTTTCGTACCGTCATTGGGCCTCCCTTCTTACCTGTGCATATTCATTTCTGCGACTGCTCTCCTTTTTCCTGGGTCCTTTGCCTTCTATACTTCCATTCTCTAGCATACTTGGTTTTGGCCTATCTACACCTTTGGGTGAACCAAGGGCTTATCCTGGCTTTCTCGTTACTTCTGTTACCCTTGGGTACAAACCTTTCCTCAGCTTCCTTGCATATTGTTGTCACATATTCCATCATCTCGTTTACTGACTTCCCTGCCAGTGCTCTGTCCCACTGAACTCCGTGCAGGAAATTCTTCATACCTGTATAATCCCTTCTCTTGTAGTTTGGCTTCATTCGTCCTGCCCTTCCTGCTTCCCTCTCCACTTGTAGCTCTACTATGTATTCGAAACTCAGAACCACGTGGTTAATGGCCCCGAGGGGTCCTTCATATGTGATGTCCTCAATATCTGCACTACTCAAGGTGACTACTAGATCCAGTCTTGCTGGTGCATCCTCTCCTCTCTCTTTCTGGTAGTGTCCCTTACGTGTGTGTGTGTGTGTGTGTGTGTGTGTGTGTGCGCGCGCGTGTCTGTTTATCTCTTGTCTGTGTGTGAGAGAAAATCGTGAATACATGCGATATAAATGTGTAATTAACCACAGAAGGCATGGGGATGAGATACTAAGAGCTGGAGGCCTTTTAGCTGTAATTCAATGAAACGGCTAGCAAATCAATGTTAAATAAATGCTACATGTCTTAAAAATAAGTGTCACGTCTTAAAAATGAGTGTCATATGTCTTTAATATGAGTGTCACACGTCTTAAAAATGAGTGTCATAAGTCTTTAACATAAGTGTCACATGTCTTACAAATGAGTATCACATATCTTAAAAAAGCAATACCCGAGTGAGGGTCCTCAGTTATGTAAATTTAACTTTGTAAAAAACACGTTGTTTTGACAACCTAGTCAGTGGCGTGAAGAGGACGTGAGACACAGGCGCCATTGCATGTGATAGTGCAGGTGTTGCGTGCGGATATGACGAAGCTGACTTGATGGGTCAGTGGTAAACACTTACATCCTCTGCTTAAGTGATATCTGTCCATTGCATCCTCAAGTAGACACTCTCAACAATCTGGACATCAACCATTATATGTTTCAAAAGTGTTTCACTCTTGACCATCAAGTTTAATGTGTTCTTGACCAACAGATCTGGTGTGTTCTTGACCAACAGATCTGGTGTGTTCTTGACCAACAGATCTGGTGTGTTCTTGACCAACAGATCTGGTGTGTTCTTGACCAACAGATCTGGTGCGTTCTTGACCAACAGGTCTGGTGTGTTTTTGACCACCAGGTCTAGTGTGTTCTTGACCACCAGGTCTAGTGTGTTCTTGACCACCAGGTCTAGTGTGTTCTTGACCAACAGGTCTGGTGTGTTCTTGACCAACAGATCTGGTGTGTTCTTGACCAACAGATCTGGTGTGTTCTTGACCAACAGGTCTGGTGTGTTTTTGACCACCAGGTCTGGTGTGTTCTTGACCACCAGGTCTAGTGTGTTCTTGACCACCAGGTCTAGTGTGTTCTTGACCAACAGGTCTGGTGTGTTCTTGACCAACAGATCTGGTGTGTTCTTGACCAACAGATCTGGTGTGTTCTTGACCAACAGGTCTGGTGTGTTTTTGACCACCAGGTCTAGTGTGTTCTTGACCACCAGGTCTAGTGTGTTCTTGACCAACAGGTCTGGTGTGTTTTTGACCACCAGGTCTGGACACCGCCGTGTGTTCTTGACCACCAGGTCTCAGTGTGTTCTTGACCAACAGGTCTGTGTGTTTTGACCACCAGGTCTAGTGCGTTCTTGACCACCAGGTCTAGTGTGTTCTTGACCACCAGGTCTAGTGTGTTCTTGACCAACAGGTCTGGTGTGTTTTTGACCACCAGGTCTGGTGTGTTCTTGACCACCAGGTCTGGTGTGTTCTCGACCAACAGGTCTGGTGTGTTTTTGACCACCAGGTCTGGTGTGTTCTTGACCACCAGGTCTGGTGTGTTCTCGACCAACAGGTCTGGTGTGTTTTTGACCACCAGGTCTAGTGTGTTCTTGACCACCAGGTCTAGTGTGTTCCTGACCACAGGTCTGTGTGTGTTCTTGACCACCAGGTCTAGTGTGTTCTTGACCACCAGGTCTAGTGTGTTCTTGACCACCAGGTCTAGTGTGTTCTTGACCACCAGGTCTAGTATGTTCTTGACCACCAGGTCTAGTGTGTTCTTGACCACCAGGTCTAGTGTGTTCTTGACCACCAGGTCTAGTATGTTCTTGACCATCAGGTCTAGTGTGTTCTTGACCACCAGGTCTAGTGTGTTCTTGACCACCAGGTCTAGTGTGTTCTTGACCACCAGGTCTAGTGTGTTCTTGACCACCAGGTGTAGTGTGTTCTTGACCATCAGGTGTAGTGTGTTCTTGACCACCAGGTGTAGTGTGTTCTTGACCACCAGGTCTAGTGTGCTCTTGACCACCAGGTCTAGTGTGTTCTTGACCACCAGGTGTAGTATGTTCTTGACCACCAGGTCTAGTGTGTTCTTGACCACCAGGTCTAGTGTGTTCTTGACCACCAGATGTAGTGTGTTCTTGACCACACAGGTCTAGTGTGTTTCTTGACCACCAGGTGTAGTGTGTTCTTGACCACCAGGTCTAGTGTGTTC